ATGTGGCATGTAATGGAAAATCTAACGATGAATTCTCTTTATGAAGTATACGTGTATGTGAGTGATGGCAATTTGCAAAGCAGAAGTTCATCAGTTGTAACTGTGCTTGCTGCTCCAGGTATCTTCATTTCATTTATGTTACGATATTAATTTTGCTTTTAAATTGCATATTCTTCTCCTATCTACTTGTTTCCTCATTTTAACCACAGTTTGATGGATGATTCTCACCAAGATTACTCGATACATAAAAGATTATCTTAGGAATAGGTCTTAATGATTTGTGTAGAATATCTATTAAGTTTTGAAATTTCAATATTTTAAAACTGGACGACATAGTTAATGAATTCAACTTTGCTAAAATTTGAAACAAAGATAGAATGCATCTAGGTGGATGCACGCACTTAATAATATCATTTTGATCAAGAGCGTTGTTCAAACTAAATAACAGTATTGGAATTACTATTTAGAAATAAAATTTTCTAAATTGTCAAATTAGGCACAAAATGAAGTTTTTTCCTATTCTCTAGAAATCAAAAATAAATTTAGATGAATATTCCTTACCGGAACCACAGATCACAATTACACCGGAGAATGCTAATCGAACCTATCGTGTGAATGAACAAATTGCTGTTAAATGTACCGTTCACAGTGATCGAGTACTTAATTTGGATTTGTTAATTGGGAAGACATTGGTAATTAGCATATTGTTTCTTTCTTAAACAAATTCTTCACATCAGTCGGTGTTTAAAAGGTATATGCCATGATGCTGGAAGATTTTGTGTTGGATCCTTAGCCATAATTGAGGCACAATTAGAATTTTTGTAAAAATATTACTACAGCTAATAAGTTAACGTAAGTTATTGTAATTAAATAGCATCCAACTGTGTAAATTTTTAGGAGGAAAAAGTTGAGTAATTAAAATCGTTTATTAAGTATTCAATCATTTGAAATCCTCATGATATATTTGAAGCAAATTAAACCATGCGTTTAATTTTGTAGATACATAGTGAACCGTCAAAAATGACTGTCGAAACATTTTTAAATGTAGCTGAAAACAATAATCTGATAACATGCACGGTTATGGACACTGATGGCCGTCAGAATCGTGCTCAAATGCATATTTTTGTACAATGTATGTTTTAAAATATCCAAATTTTTTTGTATCTCTGAAAGAAATTTTAAACAAATGTGAAGGAATCATTTTCTACAATTTTGCATCATTTTACATAATGTATATTACATACCATTCTCTTACATTTTCTGAAATTATGAAATTAATAGAAAAAAAACATGCAGACAAATTTTATTTAAATTTGCAGTTGGGCCCATAGTAAATATGGTAACAGAACAGATCTATGCTTATGATGACCTATCAGCTGAAATCCAGTGCATCGTACAAGGTTATCCAGAACCCATGCTGGAGTGGCATTATCAAAAATCACCGAATGCTATTCGTACGGAACGCCTAAACGATCCGGTTCTTGTGAAGACGACAGCTTTAAATCAATATGTGCACACACTTCTTGTATGTTTTCTTGAAACATTCTTTTTTTTCCTGATAAAATAAATTACGTACAGCTGGAGTTAAGAAAAGGCAAGATATAATTTTCGGGAGTTTTCCGTATATAGAAATTTAGAGTTTCTATTTTCAATGTTGCTTTCTTTCTATTGATTTCATCATAAACACTAAATAAACTATGTTCACTCTATTCTCGGTGTAAATATTATATGGTTCGTTTGAATCTTTGTCTTTTTGTTGGTTAACATTATTAGTCTCTTTGAAAAGACACTTTTGATTCTTTTAGATAAAGAATGTAACAGGTCGAAATGGAATATACTCTTGTAAAGCAGTTGGTGCAGATGGTACTGAGATTACAAAAAGTGCCGAATTGAACATTGCTAAAGCTGCCTTACCGTTGACACCTCGTTTCATATTACAGGTATTTTTATGATTGCAATTTGTAATACAATTCTTAATTTACTGTTTATTCAAATGCGAAATATTGTTGTGAAATTAGGAATTGTATTGCAGTGTTGTGTCGAAGCGAAGATTTCGGAAAAGTGCTTGCGTGTTTGTTCAGTAAACCCCGAAATTGATAGCGATTGTTCGGCTTTTTCAGAAGGTTTTTTTTTTCCTCTTCCTTCATAAACTTCTAATTTATTTCGCAGATGCTGTAAAACTTCAAAATTATTTCCATGAAGTGAATTGATTATTTGTTGTAAGGTTTTTAATGAAGACCGTATTTCAAGAACATTTTCACACGTCTTCTCTTCTAAGACAGTGGATTCAATGAAGTGATCCTTATTTTTTTTTTTTTTTTTGTAGAAATGTTGTTTTAAGATTAAACAAATATTTTACTTGAAAAAATTGTAGACTTGCTACGATGTGCAAATGATGGTCGTGATCATCGGGCATGCTGTATGAAGACACGCGTTCCATCGGATTGCCTAGGTATGTGCAGCGGTAACAAAGTTTCGAACAACGCGTTATGCTCAATATTTGCACCAAGAGCTGTAGCCTGCATGATTAGGGGACATGAACGGGCCCCCTCACCTCCGACATTACTTCGTTATGAAAACGTTTCCCCTGATTCAGTCAAGGTTAGTTCCATCTTTTGTATGAATTTCTAATCAAATTAACCTTCAAAATTAACTTCAACATGAATTGTAGATAGTTCAAATGGAAAGAAATAGATTTAGTAATCATCCAAGTGAATCCCACCTTCCGATCTTTCATCGTTTTAATTTATCACTGAAGCGTAGATTGTACCATACTGGCCCATCATTACAGTGTACATGAAGAAACTTTCGCTCGCTATTCACATTTTGTGATCTACTTTATTTCCAAATCACAATAATGTTAGATTTTTAGATATCCTGGAATGAAACAGAAGCTGACCCATATAAAGTATATGCTATTTATTACCGTCAGGAAAACAGCAATGGAAACTTTACAGTTGTGAAAACTAGCAACACGGAAGTTGTTATAGACGGCCTCGATCCTAATACAAATTACGACCTTGCATTAGTCTCTGCGAATGCTCTCGGCCATTCACCATTTTTGGAAACAAAAATCATCAATACTTTCGGTAAAACCCATTATATTGTCAATTTTTAGTTCATCAGTTTTAAATTGGTGACTCTTGCCTTCATTGAGCTGAAAAAAATCTTCTTCACTTAAAAAATGATGGACCAGAATTGGTAATTATGTAATAGCCTTTAAGCATTCATGTGTTTTTCATCCCAGTAAAACTAAACGTAGTGAGCTGAAAACTTGCCATCTTGCTGATAATACTAATAAAGTGACATTTAAACTTAATAAATACATTTTAGGTCCAACACGAAGTCATACATTCATTTCGGCATTTTTCTTTACATTTCTGGTGGCTGCGGCAGCATCATTTGTTGTATATACAATACGGACAAACTCTTGGTTAAGGGTAATCCAGAAACTCCATCGAAGTCAACCACTTTCAGACCGAGACCCGTCAGTAGCTTTTGAAAATCCAGGTTATGGAACCGAAGTGCAGATCCGAGGATTGGCACATTCGGATTCAATTGCAGCTACGGAATGGCAAAATGCTGATCTTGAAGTGGCGGATAATTTGCCCACGGAAGCTAACAATGGTATGAGGTACGCGAAATTGAATTCCTCCTAGGATTCGTTCTGAAACTGAAATTGATCAGTGCTCCCACTAATTTTGCTCATTTTTCCTCCCGATATTTCGATTGCTCCGTTACATCGAAATAGTCTACATGTTATATAGTACATTTTCGATATTTTCGTAAACCAAAGACGACGACGCAACATACGTAAAGGTGTTGCGTCTATTTTACGGAGCTTATTTTCCTACTATTATTATTGTTGGTGCACATGATTGTGATTCTCCAGTATTGCTGGAGGAAAAGTTAAAAATTTTTTTGCGACAATATTACGCTCCCCTCCTCTTCTCTCTTTCTATCTCTCCCCTTTCTCTTTAAATATCATCAGATCTACTTAACATTCAAAGAACGGGTTAATCATTTATTCTCGCATTGTACACTCTAGGTGTTTACTGTATAAACATAGTTCCGCTTTTTTTCTGGTTGGATGCCCTTACCAGGATGCATTTGTGTCGTGATAGAAATGGCTTGTTTTGTTCCTAATATATAAAATATGCATAATGGGCATTTGAATATGTGTATTACATCTCTCCTCTTTCCATTTTAGAATGCCTCTAAAATTCTGTTTCAATAGATGACCTTAAATGATAAGCACGATCTGTGAATAGTATAGAAGAATTTAATCAGTACGTTATAAATTTATGATACTTTCTCTTGAGAATGTGTAAAAGTGGTCTCTTTAAGTTTTCGGAGAGAGCTATTTTAATTCAACAAAACTGCTATTTTTATGTATTATTCTCGAAGCAAAGAACTGATTTGAAAGTATCAAATTGCGACATATACTGCTTCTTTTGAAAAGCGTAACTTAGACGATCGTGATTACATGACATGAGTAGAATGTGGAATAAACTGATTGTGTTGTGCATATACCGTTTACTACAAATGATTGAAAATGTTCTTTTTTTGCAATACAATATGCATTTCAGAAAATTATTCTGATGTCAATTTGACGTTTCACAAAATAAATAGATATAAAAAATTTGGTTCTCGATAATGTATGAACGAAACTAACCAAGAGCGAGAGATCTGGAATATCTCTATTCGATGTTCGTTAGCTTCCCGTGAACATTAATTATATTTCTGAGAACCAAACAATGGTATAATAGGTATGAATTCAAAAATTACTTTACTGTTTTGTAATTACTACGATAATTGATGAGCACATATATTATACTGAACGTAGGGTGAAGCATCAGCTATCCGTATCTTCAACAACAGTAAAATAAACGGTGTAGCTGGATCTTTCATACAGGGAATCTGTATGAATGTTTAACTTATCTAAGCCGTTTTTTCCCACAAATTGGGTCCATAAGTTGATGTATTTGGAAATTAGATTCTTAACTTTTTCCACGCTTTCTTAGATGTTTATCGAAAGAACTAGGTTCTTGAAGTTTGCGTTGCTCACTTGTATCCATGGCGGCTTCATCGTGTATACCTTCATCAGTGTATGGATCAGTGTCACTGATGCTACTATCATTGCCTTCTTTTTTGTATCTTTTGGAAAGCTCCTTGAAATCGCGTAATGCCTTCAAAAAAGTATGAGTTAGTCGTATGAAATAATAAATCTGGATTTTTTTTCTATTATTCTAATCTTAAGGATTGTCTAATCAATCAATGCGATGCGTTCCCTTCCGTTTAAACAGACAAAAAAGTACTACAACAAGCTTACGATGTTCGTTGCAGATTGCAGATTAAATTAGCAACAAAAAGTAGTTCCAAAGTTTTCTTACAAGTAAAAACAGAAGCAAACCTCCTCAAGATCCCGCAAATATTGCTCTGTTTTCCCATCTTGTTGGTCAGAACACTGATTCAGTGAATCCTTATTTCCTGTCTCCTCTGCCAAATTTTGCTTCGTTGCGCCAGCTACTTCAGCAGAAATTGTATTCAACTGTTCCAAAATCTTCTCCATTGCCATTTCAGTTTGCCTTAAACGTTCCTGAAGTCCCTTCAGCTTCCGTTTACCTGAAAATTGGCATGTATATAATCTTTGGACACTCAAAAACATTTTATATTCCATTGTCCCTAGTTATTCATCATTTCCCCTCTTTAAATTATTTAATGCAACCTTTTTTAATAAAAATTTAATTAAGAAAAAAGACGTAAAATAAATTTATACCAATGCCCCTTGTTCGTCCATCGTTCCGATTATAATCTTCGTCTGAATCACTTTCCGTCGATGAATAATCATGCCGCCTAATTCGTCGCTTCTTTTTTGACTGAATTTTTTCAAAAATATTTTTAAAAAATGGAACGTGGAAGTATCGTGTTTACGATGTTTCCAAAAGATAGAAAGGACACAAAAGTTAGAACAGTGAAAAAGAAAATAATTCATCTTTATTAATAAATCCCATTCTGTAATGCTTGTGATCAATAATGATATTCGGGTTTTAACTTTGTCCAAACAGAAAAGAATTATGTAACTCGAGAATTTATTAATATAAGTTGTTTGTATTAGTTGGGAAATTACTTGTATTATTGAGATAATTCTTCCTGACAGCTATAAAGAATTTAAAAAATCAATTATTTACTTGCACTATTGGGAAAGAATTACATTACTTAAGAAGTATATTATTCAACATATTTATGTTACACGAAAAATTACCTTAACTAGGGTATAAATAAGGAATGCAACGACGCCAACTGTATAAATTGGAAGCATCCATGCAAACATTCCTTTGGATGAGGAAGATGGTGTAGTTATGTCTGGTTGACTTGTTGCCATTCGCATGCCTATAAATGAAATTTTTTTTCCTTTGATCTAAAATTTTCCTATTGAACATTCCATGATTCATTAATTTTGTTCGTTGTGAAAATGTTTGTTTTTGTATTTTTTCTCATCCCAATAAATCAATCAGAATTTATTATTCCGAAAGTAAAATTACTCCTAAAACTGCTAGAAAACAATAAAAATGAAGATCTATATGTAACATATCTGGATGTAAATCAGGATGAGATCGTGGCGAACTCATGGCCGGATGAATTGGTGGTCGATTTGTGACTGTTTTCCGTGCTGGTGGAGACCGAAAAAATGAAGATATTAATGGATGAAGCATACTCGGATAAAGCATTGCAAAACACATGATTATTACTCCGATAACAACTCCAAGCTTCCATCCTGACAGTGGGGATTCTTCTTCCGAAAAAGTTCGCCGTCGCCTGAAAATATACCATTTAAATTTTATTAAATTTTAAGAGACTATAGCTCATTATATGCAAATATCCAATTTCTTCCATGTAATCTAATAAATTGATCAGTATTATACTGCACACATAAAACTTCTTTCATTGCATACTTCTTTGATCATACTTACATATCATAACTCATAACAATCTCACGTCTAATAAATGTTCACTTTACCTATCTCATCACACCAGTATTTTATATTCTCTCAATCTCTAATTCACATCATCTTTGCTTGCTCAAAAAAAAAAAAAAAAAACTGTCACTAACAACTCGAATAAAATGGACGAAATATGAAATACTTGCAATTTCCCTTTCACTCAAATATCATTGAAAATGCATCAAACAGAGTGACTTTTCTCGAAGCATTGAATGACAAACAATCATAAAATGTTAATTATTAGTTGTTGGGAAATAGCTGCTTTAGAGATGAAAAATCCAATAATTTTATGGAATTACAAACAATTTCAACTTGCTTAAATCAGTTGACAAAGCTCCAGTCTAAAATCTGTCCAGCAAATATAACTGCTCCTTAAAAATCGAATTTCGATTAGTGATCCTCTGTCATATATTCAAAACAAAATGAATTTAATATATGTTAACGACAGATATCTATCACGATTTCACATTAAGTTGCTAAATATCATCATAAATTATATCCTAAAATACCATACTAAGTTGCACAATGTAAAATATTAAGTTACCCAATTCCAGTTTCAATTTGCTTTTAGTCAAAATTTAATTGTAAAGAATGCAATATAAAAAATTTAACTCATACGAAAAACTAAAAATGTATTTATGAATAGGTTAAATAAATGGGTATCAAATTTACATAAACAGCCGAATGAAGTTAGAGATCTTTCGAAATCTTTTTTCTTTCAATAAAGTAAAATTGTTAGAACTCCATTCTAACAGTATCAAATTGCACAACAAAATTAGCAGTAGCGGCACTAGTTTCTCTATTATATTTGTCACAGCAATGAAACAAAACCTTTTATCTACTTACAGTTCCACTTCATTTTATTGTTGCATTAAATACACTCACATTTTAATTATTCTCTAAAAGACGATGCGTGATTTGATATTATTTCTAAACTTTACCCCAAATATAGAAGAAAGAAATTTTATTTAATTAATTATATCTAGTTAATATTTCATTTGTGAAAAGGAAAGATGAAAAAGAATTAAAATTTTTACAACGTTAATTTGATGAATAAATCTCATAATTGACTGGAAAATAAAACATAATAATCAATAAAATGACGAACCTTCTGGAGTGAAATGAGGGTTCCGCTGACATTCAACGACTATTTCTGGATATAATAAGCAACCAAGAGAGAGCAAGCCTTCCTCAGCTTTCTTTTACAACATCATCTAGATCTATTCATCGATTCATCTCACACAATTCGATGCTATCGAATTCTTTCATTCTCTTTCCCTCTCTCTCGCTCTAGTTTATTTGTTTGATAGTATTATACATTTCCATCAACTGCTTCACTAAACGTCAACGTCAAATCTATGTATAAACTTATGTCATCCTCTTCACCTTATTTTTGTCCTTTTTTGTAGTAAATTTTTGAAATAAGTTTAAACAAAATAAAAAAAAAGCTTGAATTTGATTGAATATTTAGCAGAGCGTAGAGTTACTACTACTACTAGAGATGAATAGTTTAATCCAACTGATACGAATCAATTCATTTGTAACTTTTTTTAGGATTCTTCAAATTAGCTACACCTTAAAAATGCCTAACTATTTTGAAATTGACTAAAAACATTTGATTAAATTTATTAAGTCATAATTGATTAGTCACTTAAATTTTATGATTAAATCATTTAAAAAAAAAAAAAAAAGAATCCACGAAAAAGACTATCGGTGTCAGTTTTATCGAATGCTTATTTTGAACGGTATTATTGTCATATTGTTTGATTAAATTCATTTAAACTTTCATTCCTATTAAGAAGCAAAAAATATGATCTCCGATTATATTAACATTTTTTTTTAATATTTCATAAAATATTATTTGAATATTTTAGTTTAAATTTTCAGATCAAGAATAAAATATTTCTCTCCTCAAATTTTATCCATTTCTTTTTCTTATGCAGGAATTTCCTAATAAATAAAAGCTAATTTGAGAAAATGTTAGCTTTATGCACTGATTGCTTTTGACATCTTCATAGCTTTGAGTTTTCAAAACCTTAGACCCTAATGCATTACTTTCACCGATTGTTTAGAGTTTGTTATTTTCATTAATATCTCTTGATTGGTTGTGATTATTGTGTGCTGTAGTGCTGTGGTGAAACATTACATCTCAGCATGTGTCTGATGGCAAGATTAAGAAGCCTCTTTCTGATAATACATTCATCCTCTTTCTAGCTACGAAAAAGATGGCATTAGTCAAATGTTATATTAAATCACTTTAGTCTATAAAACGTATGACAATTTTTTTAGGGAGGTAATTAGATGATTTGCAAGCACATCCAAAACATAAATAGTTTCTTTTTCATTTCCGATTTCGAATATAGAAAAAATTTTATTGTGTTTGCAAATTGTTGCGATTCAGCGTTTAAACGTTTCTTTGTTTCGCGTTTTTTTTTTTCTTTTTGTTTATCAGTTTTATCATTTTTAAAAATTCAACCTAATGATGATCGGAATTAAAAAGAAAAGACTATAAAAATATACACAGCAATATCAGCACGATGTATCGTGCTTTATTCGTCATATTGTAATAGCGTTGAGAAATGGAAGAAAGGAAGACATGAAGCTATGATGAGTTTGAAATTACCTCACCTAATAACAACATCAGAAGATAGTTTCAGAATTGGAGAGAGAGAGAGAGAGACGGGAAGAATTGTTTCCATGATGTCAACATATTAGAGTATTCTGCTTTTGTCACACGATATTAAAAAGTCATAGGACCAATGTTGAACTTCTTTTAGTCTAGCATACTTTCCGTTAACGTTTATTATACACATTCTTACTTTTAACTTACACATATGTATGTCATTTGTTATCTCTCATATAAGTATGATGTGGTTCTTTCTGATTAATTACAATGAATTTAATTCATCAGATAAAATGTGAGATAATTTGAAATAAACTACATTTTTGTTAGTAAACCTTGTAAAATTGCATGATTAATATATAAAAAAAATAATAAAAACCGTGTGTTTATTATGTCTGTCACAATACTGAAAGGTACATGTCTAGGAGAAAGGATTTAAGCTTGATTTCACCTTTTAATATTAATCTACATATGTATGTGCCAGGATTCCATCAAACCAATCCGATTAGGCCATTCCGCTGCTTTGGGTAAAGTGAAATGAGCTGGGGTTGCCGTTCTTTGTATATGGGACTTATGTGTATTTCACGGACAGTTTTAAAAGTGTGCGCATTTCACGGATAATTCGTCAATTTGTTGAATTCTTCGATTTATTGGGTTAATTCATTAGTTGTCGTCGCAATGAATTAGTAGTAATTGAGTAATTTAACTAGTGTTTCTTTATTTTTCAGATGAAGACTGCAGAAAAAGAATCTCTCCGTCAACGAAAAGTGGAGTCAACAGATGCTAGAAGTCATCCTAACAGTGGCGATGCTTCATGTGTTGTACAGAAGATGGATGTTCGTGCAATATCAGACGAAAGTGATGCAGACGGCCTTATTGATGGTGAAAGGTAACAAATATGTAGCAGTTTTTGCGGATTTTAGTTTCAAATATTGCTTTCTATGTTTGAAATTTTTATTTAGAAATCCTCGCTGTGCAGACAATCGCTATCAGTACTATACTTCGCCAATACTTACTCTTTACAATGCGTAGTCCTCCTGAAAGAAGTTGGTGATGTTAGCCGTATGATTCCTTTAGTAGTTTCCAGAATTGTTTGTTTGCTTGTTGAAAATCTTGTTTTTAAATTCAACTATTTACAGCGTTAAAGCTACAGAAAAGTAAGTTTTTCTTCTGTTAAGATGATGTAGTCTTTCTTCTTGTTAAAAGTGACGTTGTGCTTCATTATTTGATCTGTTGTGCTTTGTGAAGTTGTATTCCGTTTGCATTTAAAAGAAATGTGGTTTTTGTAGAATATCACAATTAACGAAGAATTTGCCACAAGGTTCCGATCATTTGGGAGCATTTATCGATCCTGTTCTTTCACCTTTGCCACCAAGGTATATCGTTGTCAACTGCGTATTTGTTTTGTTTTTTCAAAAAAGAACTATATTACGTGGAGTTCTGATACTTTTGATAGATCCAACGCAAGGCTTTGTCTCATTGCAGCTCTCCCACCACTGGGAAACATATTGGCTAACTGTTAAAAATGGTAACTAAAAAAAACATGAATGTTTTATTTTTCAGATGGCGAAATTGGGTTGTGCGCGGTATTTTTTCGATCATAATGGTTTCGCTATTCTCTGTAATCATCAAAATGGGAGCTACATGGCTGATGGCTTTGGTAAGATTTTTTTTTCTTTTGTAGTGAACTTCAGCAAGCACTGTTATTGAAAGATTTATTGAATTGTGAAAAATGGTTTAGGTATTTGTCATACAGTTTTGGTGTTTCCATGAAATTATTACAATTGGTTTGGCAGTTTATCGTCTCTATTCTTTACCGTGGTTTCGCGCACTTTCATGGTATTTTCTGCTATCGTCAAATTACTTCTTCTTCGGTGAAAGCTTAATCGATTATTGGGGTATTTTGCTGAGGAAAGATGTACGTGTTTTTATATTTAATTATTTTCAGTAGTAATTTGTCACCATAATTTACCACAGTTATTTTTTAAGCTTATTCTTTGCAAATATTTATTTAAATTCATTGTTATTTTCACTTTCTTTTGCGGGAATAAATTTGTGGACATGAATCCTATTTTTTTAATTATGTATGCTGTTTCATTGTCTCAGGAGTAATGTTTATTTCTTACTTGTTTGTGTGGTATCAGTGTATTGAGTGGAAACTTGTAATTTAGTCCGCGTGACCAGTTTTCTTTACCTTAATTCCGAAATTATGTTTAATGTTTGCTGGAGTATGCATAATTTTCAGCAGTTTTTACATTTCTTGGTGGCACATCATCGTTTGATTAGTTTCGCCTTATACTGCATAGGTTTTGTATGGTTTGTTTTATCACTGCGAAAAGGTTATTATCTGCGGCAGTTTTCACTAGTGAGTTTTATTCATACTATATCGTTTTCTGAAAATTCGAAATGCTTATTTCATCATGGTATGGCAATATAAACTATTTGACAATGTTAATATAGGATTGATAACTACATGGAAAAACCAGTCAAGCCTGATAAACATGATGTAGGTAGATGAAGATTAGATGATGCGAATCCTGTAGTCGAGCTGTAGAATGAAATAAATGGATGAAATAAGTTTAAATTCCCATATTATTATTTATTTATTTTTTTTTTATGGGAATTTAAACTTATTTCACCCATTAATTCCATTCCATAGTAAAAAAAAAACTTCTAATTGGTTGTTTATTGATTGTTCCACTCTTCTAATTAATTGTTTTAATTCTCCTCGTTTTTTTTCCCAAGTGAAATTGCGTGGTTTTGTTTTAGAACTCTGAACTAGCGATTGTTTTTCAGATTAAGGGATTTTATGTTACTCGAAAGGTTTAAATTTGTTGTCATATAGTTGATTTTAGTTTTAAATCTTTCATGACTATTTTTACTATTCTGCTTTTATTTTAGTTTGCTTGGTCACACGTAACACTATTGCTGATTGTTTCACAATCATTTCTCATTATCCAAAATATTTTTCAAGGACTTATATGGTTGGTTTTTAGTCCTGCTAATTGTATGTGAATTATCCGTCTTTACATTTATGAACTTAGTTATGATTTATAAAATGTTCATGAAATCATTTTAGGTTTCTTGTTCCGGTTTCGATGGTAATTTGCTGTGATGTTATGTCCTACGTATTCGGTTTCTTCTTTGGAAAGACACCTCTAATAAAGTTATCTCCGAAGAAAACATGGGAGGGTTTCATTGGCGGTGGTATCAGCACTGTCCTATTCGGCTTAATTGTAAGTTTGACGCAGAGTTTTGATGTTATCACCCAGACTGTCGGTCATATCGTTCCTATGGTTCATCTCCCAATGTTAACATAATTTCAGATCGGACAGTTCTGCTTAAATATTGTTATCAATTTTTTTTTTTTTTATTTGTTTTGGTTGGATTTTTCAATTCATATTCATATATTAATTGTAACTTTTCATATTTGAAAAGTTACGATTAATATAAAAACAACTTCTAGGATCCATTTGTGTACATTTGTTATATTTCAGCTTTCTTATTGCCTTCTTCATCATCCCTTTTTTGTGTGTCCATTGGAAGATTATACAGTGGAAAATTACAACTGTACGGTTCCGCCATCATTTGTTCTAAGGTTTGCTATAGACTTTGAATAGCGCAAGCTGTGATCTTTACTTTGGACAACACATTTTATAATAATACAGAAGTATTTTTTAGAGAATTCAATATCGGACGACCTATTTCCATCATATTACGATTGATGCAAAGACCTCCAACACTTGAAGTCTATCCTTTTTTACTTCATACGATTATAATGGGCCTATTTGCTTCTATATTAGGTCCATTTGGTGGATTCTTTGCAAGTGGATTCAAGCGAGCTTTCAAAATCAAGGCACTATTTCCTAAGAATTTTAGATACGTTTGATTTTGTCATTTATTTATGAAATTAATGGAAATAATTAGCGATACACTTTTCAGGATTTTGGTGATGTAATTCCTGGACATGGTGGTTTGATGGATCGTTTTGATTGTCAACTTCTTATGGGAACGTTTGTGAATGTTTATATTCACACGTTTATCAAGTTAGTTTTCTTTATAGGTTAAATTGTCTTCCAGTTATATTCATTTAATTTTTTAATATTCATTTAATTTGCATTTAAGAAATGCAAAAGAAAACTTAGTGTATGTGGATTCTTGCAGCTTATTCGGGATTTTTTCTTAAGATTTTAAAACAAAGTGAAAATTTTAAATTTACAGATGAAGTGTGACGCGCTGGTTATGTTTGTTGCTTTTTTCAGGGTCCCCAATCCGTCCAAGCTTTTGCAACAGATATTTTGGCTTCCAGTGGAAGAACAACTTTATATATTTCAGTCTTTGCGTGACCATCTTCATGAAGGTCTCGTTGATGCCTGATTTGAGCCTTATATGAAAAATGGATCTGTTCAAATTTTTTTTTTTTTTTTTCTAATTATGGCTTTGAATTTCTCCGCATGACATGTATACTGGAAAAAGAAATGCCAAAAGTAGTAAATGTAGTAGTTCATGCCTCTATGCAGGCAGCTATTCTTGCCATATCGTTCGCTTCAAAATACTTGTTTTTTGAAAATTTTTAAATGGTCACCTTTTTTTATTTCTCTTATTTGCAAAAGACATTACTTTCATATTTTACAGTTTTTATATACTTAATATTTTATTGATATTTGAAACTATTTGGTGGTTATTGTCATTGTGGTAATGTTACTTTTTTCTAGTAAGAATATTGTTCTTTTTTTCTTTTTTTGAATTCGGTTGTGCTGAAGTAATTGTTCTTGACGGTATTAACCTGATGATGTTCCGAGAGTCTCCGAAGTTAGAGAACTAAATAGTAAGTTGTTTGCATCTGAAGTAGTTCTTTCCCAAAACAACATTTTTTTTTTGAAGTTCGATTATGTTGAAGTAATTTATGATGAAGTTGTGTAAGTTCATATGTTCTATAATAAATTAGGTCTCATGACTCGTAGCACTTGCTTGCTTGTTTCTATTATATCTGTGATGTTTTCTTTGTGTTATATTGTATTTGTAATAGATTTAATGAAGTTTTATTATAATTGTATGCATTTGCAAGAATTAATACTGTATTTTCGGTAACAATTTAAAAGGCTGTAATAGAGTGAAACAGCTGGAAGTCCATTCTTGGTAATCTTGTGTTGATTCAATCTTGGAACTGACATACTCAGGCGAAAAAGTAGAGATGGATGAATGTTTACGAAGAAGATTTATGTTCTTTTTCTAAAGGTAAGGACAAAACAGTGCTTAAATTACCCGGCGTTTTCGATCTCCGCATCTGGGTTCTCTTTTGGTTTAGTTTCGCTACCCAAGTCTTTTTTTTCTGGGCTTATCTTTTGATACTCTAGTTAAGATATGTTATCAAGCCAGTTTTTTTTTTTTTCTTTTTTCTGCAAATTGTTACATTTGCAAATTCATTTTTTCAGGCGAGTATTTGCATAAGTTGTAATGTTTTGAATTCTGTTGACAAGTACCGAGTGTTTACAATGAATAAATGTTTTTAATATATCAAGCAATATGCAAAATGTATTAACAAATCAAATGACAAGTATTAGAATAAAAGTAAGTGTTGACATAAGTATTGAAGTATTGTATATTTTAGTTGTGCTAGTGCTGTTTCTCTGCCAAACTATTAAGTGTTTTTTTATTTATGAAGTGGAATTTGCATGTTTAACTAACATTTTTGCATGTTTAACTAACGTTGATTCATATTGTTAAGCTAGTTCTCAATTATTGCTTTCGTCAGAATGTTGTTTTTCTCCTAAAAATACCAGTTTAAATGCATTGTTCTCGTTTAATTTAACGCCTTCTTTTGTGCTACCGTATACATTTTTTTTTAAAGCTCGAGTCAGTTGTTTATTTTTTATGAAAATTTATTTCCTTTTTCAATTTATATACTTTCACAGTTTTATTCTCTGAATTTCATTTATTGAAACAATAGGTTTAATCATATTGCTTAGAGCAATAGCTTCGATGGGTGAGAGCATAATTATGCGATAGGGATGATCGATTTATGGAGTTACTTGGATCAGCAATCATTAACAATTTCATTAAAAAAAAAAAAAAATTCTTTAGGAAAATTTTCATGTTAAAAGTAAAATATGCAATTTACAGTTCACTTTGACTGATTTATATTTCAGGATACAATGGAATATTTTATATTCCATAAAATTATTTTTTCAGCATGATGGGGTATTTTTTCTAATCTAATAGTCTAGGTTTTTTTTAAAATTTTTCTTCCCTTGGAAATTTTTTTTTTTATTCCTGCATTATTACTGGTTGTTTGCTTTCTTTTTTCGATTTTCGAATGTTCTTTCCTTTTTTGTTCAATCCTTGTTCAAATCAAATTTACCATTGTATGTTGTAAATTAAGCAGAATATCATTTAGAAAGGTGAATTGCATGTCTTTCATGTATAATTTATTTGAACATTTTAGAAGAGTTCTTTCTACATTAGTACACAGAACAAAGTACAAAGGCAAAGGAAGTGTAAAACTCATGTCTTATAAACGTATAAATGCTTTCTTTTGTTTCAGCAACTTCTACAAATTATGTCACTGTAAAGGTTGTTAGGTTGATTTGGCAATTCAAATTATTGTATTTCTTTCAATACATTTCTAATGAATTCTGTTTTGCTGTTATTAATTTAAGATTTTAATGACTAATAGTATTACTAGAAAAACATTTACATTTTTGATAGTGCAGTATTTCACCCTTTTCTTATCATCCCTTTCTCCGCTCTTTGTCACCCTCCCCACCCCATTTATAGTAATAAAATAAGGTACGTAATGAAAAGAAACTTAATTTTTATGGGTCATCGAAATCTCTATTTTAAGTTGGCGATATTTTTGACGATATTTCTTTCAATATTCATCAAGTGTATTTAAAAAAAAAAAAAAAAAAAAACAGATTGAAACCTATAAATGAGGGACATCTGTGTAAATGAGGTCTAAATTTATTAAATTGTGAATTTGTTATTTGTTAGAACTGTAACAATTGTGTGATCATTATTTCGCATTATCATTATTTTTTACTGATGATATTATGAGAGACTATACCTATACCACTACCGAAATGTTTACAAGTGATAGGCTTCTACGGTGATTTGTACGAATATTTGCAATTACGATTTTAATCAGATTTGAACTTAAAGGTTTTATTCTTTAGATTTTGCACCACAAAAATATGTCAAAATCAGAGAGTGGAAGTTATGAGATTTTGAAGAATTTTGTTGCTGGTGGTGTTGGTGGTGCATTCTGCGTTGCTATGGGGCATCCTTTTGATACCGTGAAAGTACGATTACAGACAATGCCAAAATTGCTGCCAGGTGCTCGACCATTATATGCAGGAGCATTAGACTGTACCAGGCAAATCATTGTCAAGGAAGGATTCTTCGCTTTGTATAAAGTCAGTTTCTTTTATTAATGGTGAGATTGAATATTTGGTAGTATTTGTAATCGAGAATAGGAAAGCTTTTCAAAAATGTTTCCCAAATTTTGTTATCATGATTCTAATGATGTCGTCGAATATGTCACTTTGTTGTAATATGCTAATAAGATTATATGTAATATCTTAATAAGATCTTATTAATGTATTGTGACAAAGTGAACCGAGTGGTACCTACCAAATATTCAACCTCAGGATGATGTTAATGTTTTTCAGTTTATATAGATTTTTAATTTCCCACATTTCCCATTATTACTGTCATACTTTGCCAACTATATTTTAGGGTATGAGTGCTCCTATTATTGGAATTACACCTTTATTTGCCGTTTATTTTGGCAGTTGTTCGCTTGGCAAATGGTTGCAGCAAACATCCCCAGATCAGGAAATGACATTCCTTCAAAATCTCGTTTCGGGTAGCATTGCTGGCATTTGCACAACTGTCATTATGGTACCTGGTGAACGTATCAAGTGTTTGTTACAGGTTGTATTACTTTGTAGGAAGGTGCAGTTTGCAAATGAGAATTAAGTGTCCTTCATTTCTTTTTTTTTTTTCACTTAACTTTCCTATTTTATTTGCCTGTATTATGACGAGATGCTAGGGTTTTGAGTTTCAATGAAAGTTCCGATTTTTTAATACAGAGATTTTCAGCAGACTGTTTGTAACAATCATTTAGTTGATTTCAGGTCCAGCACGGAGATTCCACAAGTCCATCTTCAGAACATTACACTGGACCAGTTGATGTTTTTAGGAAATTATACAAACAGGGTGGCATAAGAAGCATTTACAGGGGTACAATGGCAACTCTCCTTAGAGGTCAGAGGTTAAAGTTTTTATGTATATAAAATAGCACTCTTTTTACATCCGAATTAATCATTTATGTCTTCTTTTCCCACCTCCTTAAAAATGCTGGGATAGGCTATTTCCATTCATGGTTTTCATTCTTCTTTAAATATTTTTGTGTTAATGAATGGTTGTTGTTGCAGATATTCCGGCTAGTAGTGTTTACTTAGCCACCTATGAATACCTCAAAAAATTATTTGCGAGAGATGATATAACTAAAAATTTGAGTATACTGTCAACATTAATGGCTGGTGGTTTGGCAGGCATCGCTAATTGGTCTATATGTATTCCGCCTGATGTATTGAAGTCACGTTTACAAACAGCGCCAGAGGGGAAATATCCTGGAGGTATCAAGATTCCTTATTTCTTCTCAGATACAGAACTTTTGGTTAATTCGTATATATTTTTTCTTTTTTCTTGAAAAATGACTTCTAGAGATTAGTAGAAGTTTGGCCAATTTAAAGTTGATGTAAAAGAAGTTGATTTAAAGTTGCTCAATTTTGTTATGGTGCAGGTGCAGTGTTGCTAGTAACGTATATTCCATCATGATCAACTCAAATCCTTGCATCTGACTATCATTATTGATTCTAATATTTCGTTTTGCAGGAATACGTGACGTGTTTAAAGAAATAATGCGTGAAGAGGGTCCAAAAGCATTATTTAAAGGTTTTGCACCGGTAATGTTACGTGCCTTTCCTGCGAATGCTGCATGCTTCCTAGGATTTGAGTTAGCTTTAAGCTTTTTTCAATTTATGGAAACGAGATGTAGCTAATTTGTCGGTAGCAAAATCGCGGTACCCACCTTTTCACATACATACGTATGTTTTCTTCCTTGCATATATGTGTAGATACATATCATTTCCGAAAGTAAACTTAAGCAATTATCACCAGTAATTCATTTTGTGTAATGGCTGGGATCTCCTTCTCATTTCGGTATTTTTGAAAAAATCTTTCTTTTTGCTGACGAAGAAAATAGTATTAACGAACATTTATGGTGAACATGTAAATGAAGATGAAATATCAAACTCGGCTCATTGATTATGGGATTATCCATAGTAGGCCACGTGGTTATCAGTGATCCAAGTTTGATTTTATTTCTGAAATATTACATTGTCTTTTTTCAAATCAGTGTTCTAATATTGATATATATATATATATATATACTTTTTTTTTGAATTCTGTTTTTCGTTATAAGGGAGTGTCATAACTTATGTTCAAAGTAGTGTAAATGCAAGTGAAGAAAAAGGAGCAGGAGAATATAATTTTAGCCCATTCAATACTGAAATTAATGAATTCTGAAAGTATTTCTGATGAAGTTAATAAAATTGTTCAGGAATTCTACCTCAAATCCGAGAAATGAATATTTTCTCGGAACCACAATATTTACCATTTTAGTAAAAAATGCTAACTAACGGTTAATTTCTGATTTTATTCATATCATTTAAGTTATTAATTTTAATTGAGAACAAAAGTTATTCATATCTTACATAATATGTATATGTTCTCACGAACTACAAAATCAATTCTATCTTAAATGACTAAAATTCCTTTTATTATGTAATTTCGTGGTTGTGTTAGACAAATACTTATCTCAATATAGCAAGGTTGAGTAGTCTGAACTTCATGTTTTAGAATTCTATCCTGTATTTTATCTCTATCTTTTGTCCTATCTATAAATGCATTCCGTACGATTTCGATCAACCTCGTAATATATTCTAAAATTTTTGATATTTTCTATCTAGCTGGTATTTGTAACGATTTTGCCGCAATGTGCCATTTCTTTAGTATATAACATTTTATAAGACATTTTCATGATATATCAGATCAGGTTGAAATTTGATGATTCTTTAATGAATTCTGAGAATTTGTGCAAAAATTTGATAGCAAATAAATACAATTGGAAAGAACTGATTATTATTTATAGTCAGCAAAAAGAGAAAGTTTCCCTTAAGATAACAGCTTTATATATAATTAAATTATAAACTCTATTATAGAGGTAAAATCAGTTAAAATTGATTGTCAACTGGAACTGTTGAAGAAGAATATGCAAAGGATAAGGAGCTTATTATTTTGTAAGTATAGTGATGGATTTCACCTTGGATTTTCTGTGTCTTCCTCTTCTTTTGTATCAATGTGGTGGACTGGATGACTCACTGCGATGAGCTTATGTTTATTCCTACATTTTCCTTGTGTACAATATATCTTTAACATACTGTGTAAGCTTTATGCATAATTGATTGTAGCATCATTGAATGGACACCATCGAATTTCTCATCACCAGAGGTACACATCATTTTACAATAGTATTTGTTTTTTTCAGGGGGTTAATTTTACATCTGTTTTACATTTTATTCCTTCACGATATAATGGTTTAATTATATTATTAATACTTTGATAATGAACCTGGTAAACCTGTATTGTCTATTTTCGGTATTTATTTTAAATCCACGTTCGATATTAGTGCATTCAGATAATGATTTTTGAGTGAAAACAATTACCTGATTTTTTTAGATCAAAGTAATCCGAACCCATAACTCTGCTTATCATCTAAATTGAATTATTATTTGAAATTTTGTGTTAGTTGGGTCATTTCGATTATATTTTAAATAGGGGTTGTTACATATAGGCGTGTATTTATGTATGTATGTTTGTGTATTCTTTTCTGACGCTAACTATCAAAATTTTTATTCAAAACATTTTATAAGAAGTAAAAAAGAGCTGAGAACAGGAAAGAATATTTGGAGAAATATTTCATGGAGATGCAGAACTTGATAACAAACTTAAATTTTCATATAAATTAATTAAAGTAAATATGTTCCTTTTGTTGAATGAACGAATGAAACAAATCAATGAATTATGTGATTTAAGCATCCAGTACAACTGCACTTTTTTCATCTTTTTTTCTTTCACAGCAGACTGCTTTGGTAATTGGGTTCAGAAATCTGCATATGACGAAGTCCCAGCACTAAAAAATCCATATATCATCAGTTAGTAATTTAAACTATTCATGTTATTCAGCAACTTAAACAGAACTCTTCCCGTATTCACATATCGACCAAGCTGTAATAATTACAGTCTTTAATTATTTCAAACATTAGATTTCAATTCAGTTCTCACCAAAAAATCATCTTTCATAAGTCTTCCGAAAGAATTTTATGTTTCAGATCAAACAATGCTTTTAATCAATAATTAGCTAACTAAAAGTATTATATTGTATCGAACAAATTTTCTTTAAGAAATAAAAATTCTTTGTCCATGAAATTGCATGGGAAAAAAGCAATAAATAAATTGAAACCTTAGAAAAACCATTCAGTGGTATCGTAAGTAATACTCCAAGTGGTGTACACAAGAAAACGCTAATTACTGCGAATACCGCAAACAGAATACCGAAAAATACTGCGAATGGTATTGCAATAAAAGCAGCCAGTAATTTGTAGATTGAAACACTTGTAGCCGTGAAGACCCGATTGGTTACAAGCCAAGTCCAATTGAATGAATGGCTTCCATCCGGTTCCGCGAATACTTCACCAAAATTCATGATAATATGATTATTGAGACCTTTATTATCACGATTCTCGAGATCCAATCCAATTGACATTCTCGACTTTTTTGTTTCATCCTTCTCTCTTTCAAAATTATATGATTGAGGAGTTTTTCGTTGCCAAATTCTACATATCTTTTTACGTTCCTTTTTATCAACATCATTCTCTTTCTGAACAAAAAAAAGAAAAAAAAATTAGATAAGAGATCCAAATTTGAAACGCATGAAATAAAGACAATCTTCCGTTCAAGATTTCTAAAGATGATCAACCGGAAAAGGAGGAAAAAAATCAATTTATCAATAGAAAATTTGATAAAATCCTTAATAGAAATTCATACACTCAAATACTTAATGAATATATAACTGTTGAGTGTTTCTATATTTTACACTAAAAAAAGAGAAGAAAATCATCTAAAACATTAAATAAAAAATGAATGAAAATTTATTTTTGCATTTTTTCCTTGATTTTTTGACTTTCATTTTGTTACCACTCATAATTTTAACATAAATTTTAATTTAATTTCTCTTACAATAAATAGTCCATTTCTCAGCAACTATATGAAGTCCTTTAGTGACAGCTTCTTCAAAGAGTTTAATAATTCAAATAGATCGTTTTGAAATGAAACATATTTCAATGTTCGAAATTATTTTAGCATTTTAAAAGTTTTTTCTTTTATCGCTCTGACGACTGCAAGCCAGGTTAAAATAAATAAATAAAATAAAGAAAATAATTAATAAAATGCAACTTAGAAAAAAAAATTACAAAATTAATAAAATCGAAGACGATTTTCAAAAATTATGAAAAAAAAGGGAACAGGTGAGGATGTGCTGGTCAACAGGATAGCAATCACAACAATAAGAAATCTTTGAAGCATAAAAACTTTAAATTTTCAATTGATAAAAAAACATCGCAAACAACTGTATAAATAATTGCTGATACTGATGATGATTTTCTATTATGTTGGTTTCATAAAAAGACACATTAGAAAGATAGCCACCTTGATTTCAAAAGAAATTATTCAAAATAACTCGAAAGATTTATAACTATTTTTTTCATTAAAAGCTGAAATGTGGTATAAGAGCTACTGATTTATATAAATAAGGAATAAATGACAAAATTTATTATGTTTAATTATTTGATAAAGAAACAATGCACAAAAAAAATAATTTATCAAGATAAACCAAATTCACATTTGTTAAAATTGATGTAATTTTGAAAGGTTACCTTTGCTGAACTAGTTTCTACCTTCAGCTTCTCCGGATCAGTGTCCGATTTCAGTAGCACCTGTTCAGGTTGAATTTCCTGTCTTCGATCAGACATCCTTTTCTTACTAATTTTATATTGCTGGTTAAGGGATGAATAAACTGCACTGTTGGAGCAGTAATTGATTAGCAACGGGTAACAGCAGTTCACAAAACCTAGCACTACCAAACAGACGGCTATTGGGACGGAAGTGTCTGCCCATAAGGCCATAAGGTCATTTCTCAGCAGATAGCGGCAAAGGGCGGACCTTCAGCGATGTCCATTTGATGACCTCCCTCATTTTCCGTAGTCCACTTGTTTATCAATATTCTCATGTTCTCTATTTCTTTATTTCATCTTTGATAGTGCTGTATTACCTCTTTTTTTTATTGCCGTCACATTGTGGAACTAACTAGTTACCGAGCCTGACCTCCTCGACCTTTGACCCTTGGTGAGGTAACACAATAAAAAGCGCGCCAATAACCATTCAAATGCTATTGTTGCTATCGTTAACGGCTGCGCTGATTGCACCAGCGATATAAAATTAGTTTTGGGAAGACGAGATCATCATTTGCTCAAATTTGAAGTTAGAAGATGCAAAATTAATCATTTCTCATTTGAATTACATTTTATCATCAACAGAAACACTCTTATTTAGAAAAAAATTTTTCATCACTTATTAACATTCAGTAAATTGATGTTGAATTTTTTTCTCCTCAGCTTTATAATAAACAGATCAAATTGATGTATTGTTGAAAATTAAAAATTTAAAGAAGAAATAGAAATAAAGAATAAAAATTATCATGGATGCAAAGCGTAAGCAATGAATGTGTGATTCAAATTTTTAATGAATTAAGTTTATTAGTGAAAAAATATTTTATACCCCTTTACAATATATGAATCTGAATCACTTCAAAAAATCGAATTTTACGACCAACTGAATATTTATTACTAATTTAAATTATTGCTTTAATTTAAAGCTCCATGCATAATTAGACATAAAGTTGTTGGACTGTTTCAAATCTCATTTCAACACTGGGTACTAACTTCCTCATCTTCCCATTAATTCTTAGTTAACGAAAGCAAAAGCAGAAATCAAAGTTGCATGCTGCTGAAATGTGTAAGTAATGATATTTGATTAAACAAATGTTTCATTAACAAAATCTTTTCCTTCACGTTTTTTTTTCCCACATAACTTGACAATTAACATAGACAACTGCACTTATTTAACAAACATAGTAGAGAAATTATGCAAACCATCCATCTGTTGGTTCATTTATATAAACGAATTACGTTGACAAAAGACAATCTATAACTATACCTTAAATATTGTCATTTGTTGACTGATAATGTCACATATATTTTGAAGTAACAATTCAAACGTAGTAAATCCAATTGATAAAGTCGTATTAGACTAAACGTCAGATATTTAATCAACTTCTTCAATTATTGCAGAATTAATATTTATTAGGATGATCAATGAAAAATAACAATTCATTCATAATTTTTCAGCCAAATGCAAAATGATTTCGTTGTCCGAGTAAAATGAGATAAGTCATTTTCCGTTTGGTTACTTCTTCTTGTCGATTTAATATTTTTAAACTCTGTATATGTTCATCTGCAACATACGTAACAACTTACAGTAAAGTAGTAAAAAACGATGCATTTTTCCAGTCTAATAATAATATGTGTCTAGGATAGCTAATGGCTAAAAAAGGTAAAAGTTAATTTGTTAGGAACAAAATGAACTTACAGTACACTTTACAATCAGATTTCCTCTTTGGCAAATAAATGTTTACATTTGGGACATAAGTAAGCTGATTTACAGTCATTGACTCATAAAGTTCGCACGTGAAAATATCACGTCCACCAATTAATCCATAAACAACTGTTTTACATCTCTGAAATTGTTTGTTTAAGCTATGAGTCTAATTGATCCTATCACTTAGGAAGAGGCAATTATTGTTTTCGTAAACAAATGATAAAATGAATATTCAATATCATTTTTACAGAAAAAAATTCAGAGAAATGAATAGAGAAATTTTGGGAATTGTGTGGTAGCTCTGTTTTTTGTTTCGAGATTGAAACTTCATTAAAGTTTTGATTCACTGATTTAAAATGTAATCATAAATTTCAAAATTTTTGCTTCTTTACAGTCAGAACGAGATAGAAAAGACTTATTATCTCAAAATCAAAATTATAAAAATCATAAGCTATTAAATAAATTCTGATCACTTCTCGTCATAGTTTGGTCAGCCAATATTAAATTTTTTAAAATTAATGTAAATTACTGATCTATGCTATAGTCAATATCATTTATTCATTTTTAATAATTTCGATATTATTCTTTCAGGTTATCATAATTTATAAAAACAAGATATGAAATATTTATCAGTTTTTTAGTTTATTTCGTTATGTTATCAAATAATTATTTATGAGCAAGCATAATGGTGTTAAGTATTTGAAATCCCAAAATTATTTTAGATCTCAATTTTATTTGATGAGAATTATAATCAAATTACTAAGCTTTAAGCAATTCAATAAAAGCATTTAGTTGCAGCAAAATTTCTAAAAAAAAATCTTAAATACTTACTGTATCTTTAAGACAAGT